AAAAAAAAAAAAAAAAAAAAAAAAAAAAAGCGACACAGTAAACAGCACTGTTATGTGGAGAATGTTCCCAGCAGGGCGCAGGGTATGAGGACTGCTTATATGATGACACTGTGGTTGCTTTAAATGCAACTTGTGTACTGAAATGTATTTTGGTACATTCCTTTCTCATGAGCACATGAAATCAGATCCTTATTATTATGGTGGCTAATAATTTACTCTTAAATAGTATCTTGCCTCTAATGTATCTGAAAGTATTTCAAATGACATATGTGCAGCTTTAGTCTAAAATCAGCTCCAGTTTGGGTACAAAGCAGAAGACAGCTGTAACCCAGACAGTGTACTTTAGGATAAAATTTCCAAGCAAGCTGTTTCCCTGAGAAAAGAATATCCAGACTCCTTCTCAGTGTGAGTCAAGGTATCACCAGCTAAGGTTTGGCACATCTGAAGTGCTACATCACTGTAGAATTAAAGCATTTTGTGAAAGAAATCTGTTACGTGCTTTTGTGTTGCTTTACTCATAAATCCTAAATATAGTGTTTTTAAGACATGGTCTCAATAGATCAATGGGCATGGCCATGGTCAGACAGCTAGGAGGCAGCCGTTGGACAAACTCAGTGCTTAGTGCATTGTAAATGGATGGCTGCCATCATTGGAATGGTAAATAAAAGCCAGTCTTTTCTTTATCAATGAATATTTCACCTTAACATCAAAAATCTCAAACTCCTCTTAGAATGGAGAGAGAAAGCACTGGAAGGAATCTGATGATCAGGAACAGCAATCATTTGTAAACATTGATCATTAATCAAAAATCATAAAAAAATAACTAACAACTTTCTTTGTCTGTGTTTTTCAACTCCATGTGAGCATTCATAAAACATTCTGCACACAGCATTGTGTGCCCTCGCCCTCGTGATGGCACAGTGAAATGATACGCATTAAGGGACACTTCCAGGGGCTTATAGGTCATGGAGATGGGGGTGTGGAGTGACAGACACACAGGGTGAGCTCAGTAACGTTTGCTAAGGAAGATGGTCTTTAAATCAGATATGTCTTTTCTTTTACCTTTTGTGTGTGTGTGTGTGTGTGTGTGTGTGTGTGTGTGGTACCAGGGATTGAGCTCAGGACCTTGAGCTTGTGAGGCAGGCGCAGTGCCACTGAGCTAAATCCTCAGCCCCAGATTTGCCTTCTCTTGAAATGTATAAACTGCTTATTTCTAGCAAATGCTCAGGCTATTTTTCTTGCTGATTGTGCCATGAATTCAGTGTGGGTAAGGATCTGGATAAGAGAATCAAATCGTCATGGATGTGATGGAAACAGATAAGTAGATCCAACCTTTGTCCCAAACAAATCTTATGAGGCTAAATTCAGACACTTTTTTTTTTGGCCAAAGGGATAGATGATGATGTTAGCAGTATTTTTGTTTGTTTGTTTGTTTGTTATAACAGAGTTATAAAAAAAAAAAGTAGACCTGGTCTGGATTCAGATCTGTCCATTTTAGCTACTTATTTTCCCTTCTTTCAGCAAATGATAACTGGACTCTCAAAGAGCCCAAGAAGGATAAGGGTTTGCCTTTTTTTAACTCTACTCATTATTTTTCTTTTCTCTGGTGAGGTTAGGGCTTTTTTTTTTCCTTTTTAATATACAACACATAATAACTAATGTTTGTGGAACAAATGCATAAGTGAAGGGAATTAAGGCAAGATTCTTTCACTGGCAGTCCCACCTGTGTCTCCTTTGTATTGGGGCCGAAGTTTACACAGATACAGGCATAGAAACATGCCTAGTGTTGCCATGAATGGCTGCACAGTGGCATTTTCAACACCCTTTCTCTACAGCAATTCCAAAAAGTGAAGGGATGAGCCTCTTTAAGGGGCCAAATAATTTATTTGTTGGTTTATAGTTTGAGTTGAGGCACTCACTGCATACTCCACCTCCCTCTACACATTCCTGACCTTCACACTGGGTCCGGACATCAGAACACAGAATCTCCTAACAGGTTGTGTTCAGGCCATGCTCTCTGGAAGCAGCTCTTTTCTCTAGAACCTCTGGGTCAGAGGTTGTCACTGGGGCTGTCACCAGCAACTTCCCAGCCCCAGAGCTATGACCCACATTTCCGCATTCTTACCAGTTGATGTCAGTAGAGGAATGGACTCGTGAATAATGGAAGTGCAAGGCCTGCTTCTCTCTGCTGATCCCAGGCTCACTCCTCAGGGCTGCATTTCACATGGCATAACCAGCAAGTTTCCTTCTTATTCTCCACAGCCACCACCAGCTTACTGCCCTCTTCGCTTAGCTCCTCTGTTCAAGAACGCATGGCCAGCTCTGTATTCATTTTTGTTCTTTTTGTGATTTTTCTTATCCCTCATTCACTATGAGGACAAAGCATTCACCATTTACTCCATCCATTCTACTCTACTGTCCTCTTACATGATTAGGCAGAGCCTTGGTCTTTCCGGAAGCCATGATGCCATAGGAAACGGCATTTACACTCCAAAGCCCTGTACATACAGGGCTGCCTGTAACAGCTTATCGAACTGAATGCGCCATTTCAACAAAGGACTAAAAGAGCATATACATGAGGTATCTGTTAAAAATGAACCTGTATCTGACTTATTTGTTCTGTAAGTTTAGGACAGTCAGACAAGTCCTCAAGCATTATGTATTTATCATAGCTTATTTTAAGCCTACTAATTAGATCACGCAGGATGATACTGAATAAACACTAATCGTAGGTCATAATGTAGAATGTGTAGGCTGCTGGGGGAAATGACATCAAATCATTTGCTTTCTTCAGTGTGCTTTTCAAACTGAGTTTCATATTTTTTACTAATCCAATTTTTAAAAAATCTATTACTAAGTCATTCTTAAACCTTTTTTCAGGGACTATCCAGTTTGCCATTCTAGAAATGAAGTTCCCTTTTCAATCTAAACAGATGGCTTTAATTTTTGGTGGAGTGGTTTGAAAGAAATGTCACATGAGAAACTGCAAGCAATTTAACTTGCATTTTTTGTTGCTCATACATGTTTCAAAATGTATTTTACATTCTCTTTTAAGTGAGTTCCTGTCTCCATGCCGCTGAGACTTTAGAACTAAATAAATGAAAATCAATCCCAGTATTTCTAAAAATGTGAAGTCTTAGCTTAACTGAAGTGCTCACTTATTGAAAATCCAATAGAGTAATTCTACTAAGTAAAAAAAAGTGTCTTCCAACGGATTCCAAAGATAAGTGCACTTTGTTAAGCTGTGCAAACAAAAATGTAGCCCTCCTACCCCCCCACAGGGATCTCTGTCCTCTTACACCACAGTAACTTGAGCAGCTGCTTCAAATGAGCCTCTCTTGACCCTTTACCTACTCATTTCAGCTGCTGAAATAAGGCCAAAATCTGTCAAGGACTGTGAAGGGTGGAAAAGATTCTTACTGTCTATTTAATTTACCATTTACTAATTGCCTGCCTCATGAAGACACTAAACTGGAAACTCTGAGAAATATTAAATCTTATTCCTTGACTTTTATGGATTTATAACATACTGATGAGGAGGTAAAAGGAGAGAAAGCAAAAGCAGTAAACACAAAAACTATTTTAGTATATGTGCTACCAAAGTGAGCACAACCCAAAAAAATTATTTTAAAAAATTATCAGGTAGAAAACTGTTAAATATAATAGAAACTAAAGAAAATCCAGGTTTGTAGAAATTCCTTTGGCAGTATAATGTAAATCAACTCTGTAAATCACCTTTAATATTTAAGACAATCTGATGAGACAACTTAGCCATCAAGAACAAGGATTTTATGGTCTCTGAGTTGTATATTTTATTTGTTATTTTATCTCTTTTTGCCTGAGATTATTCTTAAGCCAAATTCTAAAAGATGGGAAAATGAACAAACAGTATACTAACAAGGAAGACTGATGCTCTTTGACATCAAAATTCAGCATGAAATTCACACAACAGTAAAAGTGTACTTAATACCCTGAACTAAATACTTAAAAAACAGATGCAGTGACAAATTCTACATTATGTGTATTTTAACACAGTAAAAAATACAGGGAAAAAAATCATGATCTTCTCTAAGGAAAAAGAAAAATGCTTTAGAAAAAAATGTGAAGGTATAAAATGATAGAAAAAGTCAAAAATAATGATTGATCTTGCTATTGAATATTCTTGTCATAGATTCGCACATCAGTGATCACACTGTTATTTCCCAGAAGACCCTTCAGCTGGATAAGACACTTTGTGATTGCCACCATAATTATTGCACTTAATAATGTTCTGGTCATCCTCGTGCCAACTATAAAATACATTTTTGGATTCATTGGTGAGTTTCAAAGCATTTTTATTTAGTCAACCGAAAATTATTTCTCCTTAAATAATGGTCAGGGAGCTAGTGCTGGCACTCGATTACAGACTCATGGGGTTCCCATTAGCCCTACTGGGACCCAGGGACTGTGCTGGTCACTCCTCCTCCTTCCCAGGGGGCAGCGGGAACTGACTTAGGGTCATTTAATCTGGCTAGCTTTTCTGACAAATGAGGAAAGTGATCCTTAAAGAAGTCAAGTTCTATACCTTGGCTGGGGGAGAGTGGTGTCTGGACATGGTTTCTAAGTCAGCCATCGGGGAAGAGTCAGGAAGACACATTTTACTCACCAGGCACTCTCTCAAGTCTCTTGAGTACCGGCTGAATATTCAAAGATATTTTCAGAAGAAAAGATAAATTCAGAAGAATTTTAAAGCATATCATTTCCCTGAATTACCTGGCCCATTAATATATTTAATCTCTCATTCTATTGATCAAATATTTAGTTACATTTTTGAGACAACAGAAGACTTTATAAAGAATTTTGTGTGGAAAACTTGAAAAGAGGTGGAAAAGAAGGGTATGTGATGAGTTCAGCTTCCGATCTTCTGTAAATTTGTATTATATTCCAGCCTTTTATCACTTATATGTTTTACTTACATAGCTATAATGTTAGGAACACTTTTATTTTCTTTATAAACATACCATGTATGAATAAGCAGACGTGATGAGCTGATGTGATTTAAGTATGTGCTTTCGGAACTAAGAAGACTAGGATCATGTTTTATTTGCTTTCTCTGAAATATGCTCTCTCAGGAATCTGCTTTTCCAGGAAGACCTGCCACACAGGAAATTCACTTGCCTGTTTCTCTCCTTAGGGGCTTCTTCTGCCACAATGCTGATTTTCATCCTTCCGGCAGCTTTTTACCTTAGACTTGTCAAGAAAGAACCTTTTAGGTCACCCCAAAAGGTCGGGGTAAGTAAGGCTGTCAAGTTCCCCCACTACAACTTGCTCTTCAACTAAGCATAAGCCAGAAAATACATAGGGTTCAGGAAAAGGAAGCAATGAAAAAGAACCAAACATCAAGCATGGGCTGGGTCTCTCTGGTAGGCGGGGAAAGAAAGAAATGGGTTTCTGACACACAGAGAACTCTAGGATTTCTTTTCTTCCAATAGCAAATGTCTTGTGGGGAGTCCTCCTGCATGTCAGATGCTAATGCGGTGATCCCATGGGCACATGCCCTCTGTGTGCATACCAGCTTCCAGGGCCAAACACTGCCCACACTGCCCATGTGGAATCATCAGGAAGGAATTAGGCTCCTCACCAGAGTTAGGAAACAACACAATGTTTTGGTCATGTTTGCTACAAAGTCAGGATTGCTTTCATTTTCCCTCTGTTGTACCCTGCTGTCCCCGGGTTGGGATTAAGATTATTAAAAAAAAAAAAAAAAGGACATTTGTTCTTAAGGCAATCTTTTCAAGTATAAAATAACATCTTATTAAACTAGGAAGTGCATATTTCTTTTCCATAGTGGGACTACTGAAACATATTATAAATATGTGGTTTTTTTTCAGTAACTAAATATGATCAATGACAATTTAAGGTCTTATACTAAGGTTTGAAAAGAACAGTTTCTTACTACATTATTCTGAATTTTTGCCTTAATCATCTCTTGGGATTGTTCAAGGACTTCAGGAAAGTCTGGTATCAAAAGCTCTTCCTGACATCTTGCCCCTGAATTTTCACTTCGTATAGTCCATCTTACCTTCACTTTCACAGCAGTGTGACTTGGGCAAGTTACTTATGCTGTTTGTGACCCATTTTTAGTTTGACTTCATGTAAAATGAGCAAAATCATCTCCTCAGTCAGTAGTGACACACCTATGGCATGCATGTTGTTTGTTTTTCTTTTAAGACAAAAATGTTAATGTGTAAGTTGTTTTTTCTCAAAATCTCAGTAATCAGGTTTAAGTGTAGTGTTGGCACTTTGCAATAAATAAGTGGGTTTTGGGTTACACTTGGGCACTCTTCTCTAAAAGTTTTGCTATCATTGTCCTAGACCCTTGCTAGTGAAACATTTTAGCTGCTGCCTCCTTACATACAGAATTAAAAAGTTGATCTGTGTGTAATAGTTAAGGCCTCTTCTAGTGTAAAAATTCCAAAATATTTTGTGTTATAAGTGTTCATACATACAATGATATATGTTATACAGATTTTGCCAAAAATAAATTTATACACACTTCAGCAGTTCTCTGAACTAATAAATGTCTGGACACAAATGGCCACCACTTTGAGCACCTCTTGTCAGTGAGAGGCCAAAGATAACTTATATAACTCTCATGGTGTCTCAATAAATTTAGTATTAAATATTTATACAAGGTTTTCTTTTCCTGATATATACATTTTTGCAGACTGTATAAATATATATGCACACACACTTTTTGCCTTTTTCAGAAATACACAACACACATTATGCTCTTGTTTTTATTTGTTGCTTTATAAGATCAGAATCATATCATACATACTACTCTTTTATAATCATCTCTTTTTACCTAAAAAATTGTGAGCATTCCATAGGTCATTAAATCTTTTTCTGTCACTTAATTTTTAACTGTCATAAGGTATGGCATCGTTTTGATGTATGAAATCAACTAATCATTACTCTTTCTTGGAATTTTATGTTCTATCTCTCCTCTGTATTTTCCTTCTCCCAAGTAGGATGTGAATTGATTGATCAGTTAGATATTGGAGTTAGGAACAGTATTTTAATATAACATGCAAGCTGGAATGTCACCTTACATAAGCAACTTATAAAAGCAAACTGTGACAAGTATGGTTACTGTCTTCCCTTACAAGTTCTCTCTAAATTCCAGGCTGTAATTTTCCTTGTGATTGGAATTATCTTCATGATTGGAAGTATGGCACTCATTATAATTGACTGGATTTACAACCCTCCAAATAACAAGCGTCACTAATCCAAGAGAAAATACTTTCTTTTTCTACTGGAAATGGTTGCAAGTTATGCTCCAGAAGACATTGGATGTATCTTTATTGGAATGTTGTTCATAGGAAATAACAACGGGAAGATTCCAAAGATGTTTGCTTATAATATCAGAGACCTGCGAGAGAAAATCATGGTTTTTGTCAAGAGTGGCTATTGATGTTTTAAATCTGTATTGCACATCTCTACCCAGGTTTTATTAAAACAGTGTGAAATGATCAAGATATGTTTTTCCTGTTATACAAGCAGAATAAGGGGCTTATTCTGTAATAGTGATCAGATAATTTTCTTTCCCCTGCTGGCTCCCCATGTTGCATCCCCCATAAAGTTAAGAAATAGTTGTATTCTCAGAATATCAAGTGAAAACACCAGTAATGTCTGCTCCAATCTTGCACTAAAGGCCTTGGGTCTGTTGGCTGCCTGGAGTCAAAGGCATGTTCTGTGACCTGTTGCTGGGAGGTGTACAAATAAATGATCAGACACCATCACTTCTCGGCCTTTTGGCTAAGAACAAGTGCAAATGATCAGACACCAATCTAGAACATGTATTTCAACATTAACGGAATATTTTGCTCAGACTATTTGTGACATCGAATTAGTAACTGTTTCACTCAATGAAATTTTTAGTAAAGGTTAAAACATCTTACTAAATAGAGAGGGTCTTTATTTATAGAGCAACAATAAAAATAATATTGCATATAGCTAAGCTACCTGCTGTGGTTTTTAATGCTAGTCCTAATCCATTGTCAGTCTTTTGTCCTTGAACAATGCTCTCCCTCTCGTCTTCCATTCTTATTCAGAATTTTTAGAAGACTGCAGTTCATGTGGAGACACACACTACCCAGTATTGTTTGATACATGTTTAGTTGATAAACATTCAGTGCAGAAAACTGTGATTTGCTATATGTTTATGTGTGTAATCTTATTCTATAGTCACCAGAATGTTAACATACGGTACATTTGATTTTTATTTTTTACATGTGTAGCTTTCTTTCTCACAGTCAAAACATTTGTACTATTGGAGTCAGGAAGTTAAGCTGGTGGGCTCAAAAATCCATCTGTCCACGGGAGTTATTTTAAATTAGAAACCTAAGTTTTATAGTTTGGTAATGCTCTTCTTTAATGTTTACAGTAATAGCATCATGTATAAGAAAATGATTTCTTTATGTGCAAATAATTAACAGAGTTAAGGTTGCTTTTTTAGTTTAGTGTGTCTAAATTAAGATTTAGTTCATTTTAGCTTGCACAGCTCTTTGCTAACATTATTTGTCATTTAATAGAGTGTTGAATCATTGTCCATATAAATATAAGTAGTAACGCTACACAGAAATGCAAAGTGTCATTCTTCCGTCCATAATGTACATACCTGGAATGGATTTAAAAGTTACTGCTCACTGCCTAGCATTTCTTAGACCTCACTACTGTCTTTTCAAATTACTAGCAAGAATATTTGTTGTACATTTTATATTTTAGTAAAGCTAAGTATGGAATGTAAGTATCATATAAATATAATCAGACCAAATCATATTTTGATAGTTTTTCTGAAATGCGACTAAGAAAATACCTATTTGTTTTATGTATCATTTTCTAGAGATGCATAATTGTAAAATGGTGTACTTTGTTACAGAAATTGAGCATTACTGGAAACTATTATAGCTTTTAAGTTACTATCATTTGGGAAAACTATGCTGAATAGCATCTTTAAGATATATTTCCATTTTCATTTGTCTGAAGATTTCTTCATATTAGAAAATGGAAAAAAGTGTCTTCTGCATGTTAAAAAAGTTGTCTGAAGGTATTTCAATGTAAATGTTAAAGGCTAACTCAAAAATATTAGAAAACTGTAAAACCTGTATTTGCTTTAAATGTTTTACATTTAAAATGAATAACTTGAAAATATCACCATGTATAATTTTATAAATATTCCAGAGCAATGCTACAGTGCCAAATCCTAAAGCACCAGTTCTCCTCGTGGCTACCTTCAGGGTTAGAGGTCATATATGCTGCAGGGCAGACAGATACACAGTTTCCTGTGCTGGTTAATTTAACCCCTTTTGTAAACAGATGAAATTTTTATTTTCTTATCATTTATAAGATGGTTGAATGTATTTGGAGGATTTTTTTTATTACAGAAAGTGTATATTGGTATATAATAAATGAACTTTTCAAATGACCGTGATAGGATTTTCTTTCTGTTGTTAAAGAAGACTGTGAGTTATTTATACGAGGAACAGTTTGAAATCTCATTGTTGCCTTTCTTATATTGGTATGGGTTGTACTGTCATTTTGCACACGCACAGGAGCATGATTTCCCCGCATTTACACACGTAGATGCACTCACCATATACACTCCTGGTGTTATTTCTACTGCTGCTATAACAAATTGCTACAGACTTAGTAATCTAAAAGAATATAATTTATTACTTTACAGTTGTGATGATCAGAAGTCCCAAAATCAAGGTGTTGGTTGCACTGCCTTCCTTCCGGAAACTCTGAGGAAGAATCTATTTCCATTTTTTTTCCTGCTTCCAGAGGCCACCTAAACTCCTATGGGATCTTCAAATTTCACTCCCTTACTGACTCTCCTGCCTTCCTTGTTCCCATTTAAGGGTTCGTTTGATTACATGAAGCTCACCCGGATAATACATAACAATCTCTCCATTTAAAGATCTTTAATCACATCGATGAAGTCCCTTTTGCCATATAAGTCCACGTATTTACAGGTCCCAAGGGTTATGATGTCAGTATCTTTGGCAGGCTGTTATTCTGTCTACCACATGACCACGTGCCCACATTACCCCATGGCATGGGCATACCCTTCACCATACACTTGGTCCCAGTCATTCACATGTATACCACAGGCATGTGTGTATCACCCTAGAGGCAATGAGATAGCACTGAAGGATATTGAAGAGGAGATCAAAAAGTAGGGATACATTTTAGAAAGACCATGTTAGTTGCTTACCAGAGAATGGAAAGGCAAGGAGCTAAAGTAGAAGAAAAAGAAAAGTCACTTAAAATGGAAGGGCAGGTAGTGGGCCATTAAGCACATAAAAAGCAATTATTCTCCTTGATACCTTATTCTGCTTTAAACCAAAAAAATTTTCCGGAGATATAGATTCCTCTAGGCTGTTTTAAGTTTGATATATCTTTTAAAATATTTATTAAAGAAAGATTAAGTTGGAGAAAACCAAATAGACTAATTTAATTATATATGATTCTAAGCACTTCTATCATATTTTAACATCTTAGAAATCAGGAAGCATCTTACAGTGACTTTTGGCAAGTGGTACTTATGATATGGTCATCATAATTAGTTCCAAATTGCATATCAAAACTTGTTGAATGGATATCAGAAGAAAATACAATGCTAACAGTGGTGACTTTCATTAAGCACTTGATCATCAAGAGTCTGTGGAACTAGTGGCAACCCTATAGCATTTTTGCTACAGCCAGCTCTTCGTTATCATTGAAAGCTCTAAAAACTTCACCTTTAATAGTCTATGGCATCCCAGCACTCAGGAGGCTGAAACAGGAGGATAACTACAAGTTTGAGGTTTCAGTCTGTAATTAACTGGTTCCAAGGCAGGGTAGGATGGCAGAGGAGAAACAGCCCATGGCAGAACAGGCAGGAGACAGCAGCTAAGGTTGGTGACTTGAACACCCACCTCAGAGCCTGATAGAACTACTGAACAGAAAATCAGCAAAGATACAAACAGTATAATCCAACAACAAGTTCTAATGGATTTGTATAGAACATTCCACTGCCAACAGCAGAATACACTGCTTTCTGAAGATTTCATGGAAATAAATAATCTCGGAAATAAAACACAAATTTTAAAGAACTGAAATCATAATCATACAGAATTTTTTTTTCTAATTCTAGTGGAATCAATTGAAAATCAACTGGGCCAGGGATTGGCTCAGTGGAGACATGCATGCCTGGAAAGTGCAAGGTCCTGAGTTCGATTCCCAGTACCATGAAATAAATATAAACAGAAAAGCAATAGAAAAATCTAAACATAAGGAAATTAAGTAACACATTTAAATAATTCATGGGTCAAAGAAGTATCAAATCAAATTTTAAAATATATAGAATTGAATGAAATCTCGAAAATGTCACAATATGTGGGGTGCAGTGGAGAGAAGAAAATTTATAGGACTAAGTGCATACATTAGACATGAAAAATATCTAAAGTCAGTAATCAAAATTTCCGCATCAAGAAGCTAGTAAAAGAAGAGCAAGACAAGCCTAAGGAAAACAAAAGGAAGAAAACTAATGAAGATCAAATCTGGTATCAGTGAGACTAAAAATGGGAAAATAGAGCAAATCAGTGAGACAAAAGTTGATTCTTTAAAAGATCAATAACATTGATAAAACTCTAGGAAGACTGACAATAATTTAAAAAGCACCATATGTCAATTTAATTCACAGTAGTTCTAGTTGTACATAAAACTGATGCATCTAAAAATTTTTAAAAACTATTGAATTTACTAAAACATGGGGGGTTTTTTAAGCCTAATTAATATGTGGTTAAAGGAATACGGGTCTTACTTTTTAGAGTTTTACCGTGTATGTTGCTAAACTTGGATTTTCATCCAAAAATGGTGAAAATGACTCTGTAAAGTCCAAGGTGCTAGCAGATCTGGTTGCTGGTGAGGGCTTCCCTTAGGCTTACATATTTCTACCTCACTGTGCCTTCATATTGTAAAGAGAGACCTCTGGTCTCTTCTTCTCCTTGAAGGACACTAATCTCATCAGAGGAGCCCCACCCTCATGATCTCCTGTAAACACTAACTTTCCAAAGGTGGTATGTTTGTGTTTAGAGATAGGAATGAGGAGGCCAGGCCAGACCAAAGAAAAGTTATGGAGGGTTACCAAATAAAAACGAACTCACTTATATCTACCTTTTAAAGCATTCTAATGTTGGCTGGTTGATTAGCATGGTGGACTTATAGGAAGATTATCTTATATTCATTTTACTAAACGGAAACTGAAGCCCCGGGAATGAAAAAGCAGAAAAATGATCTCCGCATTGAAATTGATGTTCCTGACTACCTCCCAAGCCTACCTCAGAGAGTGCACCGCTCTAGCTATAAAACTCCAAGACAACTCGCTTCACTCTTAGTTTGATATTAAATGTAAACATCGCCAATCTGGAGTTTTCCCACCAACCCTAGGGGTATAGAGAGAAAGATAGAAACCCAGTTCTTCCCTGTTCAGCCTGACTCAGACTCCCCTGCACAGGGTAACAAAGCTTTTTCTCAGGGTTATTTATGAATAAACTACTTGAGATTATTTTATGGTTAGATTCCTGGTATTGTCATCGCAAAGGCAACCTTGACTATTCTTTTTTGAAGCGATGGGTATGTTTCTTCTATGTTAGCCAGGATTTTCACTTAAACTTTTGGAAAATTGCCAAAGTTTTCTGAGTGAGTAAGAGGTTGTCTAAACCTGGTCTGCAGCCCAAACTGATTTCAAGATGGATCATCAGCAATTTTTTTCAGCCTGTGTAAAATCAGCAATTTAAAGACACACTCTCTTATCGCTTCTCGGCCTTTTGGCTAAGATCAAGTGTAAAGACACACTCTCCCCCTAAGAAAAAATAGTTGTCATTTTGCCTTTCTTCCTAAAAGTACAAATCTTGGTAGGTCATTGATGGGCTGCTGGGAAGGGATAGCTGCTGCCAAGATGATAGAATTGCACATCTTTCTGTGTAGAAAAAAATGAAAACGACTATTTTATCAAATCATTACCTATAATGAGTGCTTATCACTTGGACCATTTTCTATTTGATAATGTTATGAAATGAAACACTTTCTTAGGACTTCACATAAGTATTTCAACTATTTATTTAGAATCAGGGGTTGACTAAATTATTTACTTCTGCCTCCAGCTCTACTGATTGGAAAGTTGAAAAGTCCTGGACTACAACTCCAGGGCTGCTCACAGTGGAGCCTGATGGTTGCCTGGTGACCCTGGGGCAAGCACCTCACCAAAGCCCTGCCTTCAGAAGACAGGCACTGGACCAAGCCTTCCTAGGACCCTGAGTCGGTAGAAAAGTCTCCTGCCAGAGAAAATTCACCAAGTGAAAGTCGTCCAACAGCTCAGTTTCTGTGATATTTTTTTGATTTCCCTGAAAGATCAACCCATTTGGGGCAGAGTCTTGTACTAAAGTAGGAACGAAAGCAGAGGATCAGGATATGGCCTTCTAATCTATACAACACTTCCCATTCCATCTCATGTTTCTCTTACCAGTAAAACACACACACACACACACACACACACACACACACACACACACTGCTATGAACTGCATGTTTGTGTTTTTGTTGCATATTCATATTTTGATGCCCTAACCATTAATTTGATGGTATTTGGAAGTTGGAGCCTTTGGAAAGTGATTATGTTTAGAGGAGATCATGAGGGTGAAGCTACCATGATATTAGTGTCCTTCTAAAATAGGAAGAGACCAGAGCTCTCTTTCCAATATATGAAGACACAGTGAGGTAGAAATATGTAAGCCTGAAGGAGGCCCTCCCCAGACGTAAAATCTGCTGGCACCTA